GTTTAAGACCCTTAGGTTTTTATGTATTCAATTCATTGACTAGTGGTGGGGATGTGATAGGTTAGCAAGCCTATGGTAAAAAATTTCTATATTTTGGCTTGAGAGTTTGTTGACACCCTTAAACACTTCGAGCGTATTGAGTGAATCCAATGTGAGGGTATTAGATCCCACTGCATTTTGATTTCGAAAAGATTGATAGAGTGATTATTCATGTGTGTTGGTTTATGAGAATTTATTCTACGAATTGCTCGTTCCTTACTTATGTCTAGATTTGAGTCTTTAAGGCATGACAATTTTGATTGTTGAAGGATGAACAAAGCAAGAAGAAGGATTGATGTTGAGAAGAGTTATGAATTTGAACTATTTTAGGCTTAAGGACAAGCATTGGTTTAAGTGTGGGGGAATTTGATAAGATGCATATTAGACATATATTCTATGATATTTTCCTCATATTTGAATAACTAAAATTGATTAAATTATGGATTTTTATTATATTTCGTATTTTGTGGATTAGGTTGAAGATTTGGATAAAACAAGTTCAAAATCTTATGATTAGCATGATCGTCACAAAATCCCCAAATTAAGGAGGAAAATCGAAATTCAAGAAGCTAGCAAGACCAGAAGAGGTTTTTGCGTAAGGCGTGGGCACGGCTTATTCATCTTGAACTACCGCAGAAGAAGTCTACAGTTAAGGCATGGGCGCGCCTTACCTGTTCATACAATCCTAAATTAAGGTTACGAATTTACAAAGGAAAAAGAGTTTAATGACGACTGGAAAACTCTTTTGAATTATTCTTATCTTTAGAAAAAGATGAGGGCATTGAAAACTCCTATTTTTGTGGGATTTTCTTTAAGGAAACTTCTTTATCTAGAATAGGAAATTCCTTATAAAAGGGGAGCTAGGGCCATTAGTTTTACATCAAGTTTTACATTAAGTTTTCTTTATTTTCTTTTGGTTTTTTTTCAATTATGAGTAGCTAAATACTTTTGTTCCAACTGGAGGATAATTGAAGCTTTGGTTCTTCAAGGATTGTGAGATCTAAATAATTTTCATTGTTCTTTTACTTCTTTGCTATTTATATATCTTCTTTTTTTATTAAGAATTATTGTCTTGATTGATTGTGCAAAGGATCTGTTGTTCAATTATCAAGTTGATAAATTACCATTTAGAACTTTAAATCCATAATTGTTTAAACGTTCTAATATTAGTGGTAAAGAAACATGGTTGATTATGATTATGTTATAAAGGTATATAACCTAGTCTAAATGAATCTAGCATGTGTATTCGTTGGCTAGAATTGGTGGTCCCTCTAGTGATTAATGTTGTTGGTGGATTAAATCTTAAGAGCTTGTCTAGGGTTGTTCATTAACTAGGGAAATAATCAAAGAGCTTCTCTTGATTATCGAGAAACTAAGGAGATACAAGTTGTTAGAACTTCTCAATAACCATAACCAATTTAGTGAAAAGTAGAAGATTTTATCATTGCATCTATTATCAATTCACCAAATCTGAAATTACACCTTTAGTTGGATATTTGCTTAATATTAATTTCTATAAATTCTTAGTTAATTATAATTGCTTTTTCTTTTTATCTTTCTCAATTTTAAAACCCCTTTTCTTTGCTTTAATTTTCATTAAAATAAATCTACCTAATCCCTGTGAATTCGACCTTGCTTATCGCTACTACAATTTTCTATTTCCAAAAGCAAGTATTATTATTTGTTGGATTCGACACCCACCATGACTCAAATAAATAAATATCTAGGTTCTATGATAGAACATCCCCTTTACAATATTCTAGACGTACTCTAATGAATGATCGAGTATGGGAATCTGAGATCCAGTGGCGAGCTCTCAACTAGCACCTAAGAACCTGTGCACAGAAACATATTCCATATGATGAGCCTAAAAGCTTAGAGTCACACAAATAACCCTACTATACTACATGCATTCAATATATAAGCATACTGCAAGTTGGTCATGAACAATTGTACAGACTAATACAACAATCAAAGTAAGCATCATGGAGTAGCATAGGGTTACTTAGAATCACATAACTCACACCCTTGATTGTTTACTAAAGAACCTTAGGTGAGAACTGGGTCACACGACATTAATGTCTCCCTGAAATTTGAGTTGAGTCCAGGTCACATAACATCGGAGCTCACTCAGCTAGTCTACTCCTCTAGAGTACTCGGGATATGGTCGGGTCACTTAGCATCGGTACTCCATCCAACTAGAAATTTAAAGTGCACAGCACTGGTTTAGATATATCCTGCTAATCCTCATTCTACCACACAATCTTCATACAAGAGACTCAGGTTTCATCGTCGATTCCTGAGCATCATACAAAGGCATAAGTCTTATAGAATCTTACTTCAGTAAGATCTTATGTTATCGTGCAATTATTAAGTTTTTCATTTGTATTTTTATTGTAGAGTTTTCCCTATTGACAAAATCCCAATTTTGTCCCTCTACCTCAAACAAATCTTATTTCCCAACCAATCATGATGGTATCAATACTCATCCTTGGTTATCGGTACTCCCCTTTCATGTGGTATCGATGCTCCCTTGAGTATCAGTACCAAATTTTCCTTCAATGTTTGAAAATTAAACTCGGTATCATGCTCGTCTAGGAGTATCAATACTTCTATGAGTAACGATACCAATATTGCTTTCAATGTTTTTAAAAATACCCCAATATCGATACCCCCATTGAGAGTATCGATAATCCCTTGAGTACCGATACTAAAATTAGCTTTGATGTTTCTAACTAAGTTCTCAATATCGTTATTAGGCCTCAGAGTATCGATACCATATGAGCAGTATTGATACTCTTTGATGAGGTATCGATACTTTCCTCACAATCTCTTTGAATTTTGCCCTTACTCGATGGGCAGTATTGGTACTCTAAGAACAATATTGATACCCTCAACCTAGAAAATTTGTTTTCTCTCATGAAAACTCTCCCAAATAACTTATAAAGTTATCCCAAGGCCCCTCAATGGTGTTTAAAGCTTATGGGTAGTTAAAGAATCATGAAAGGCTATTACTTTACACATGAATAACAACAAATCCCATTTTAATACATTTAAACCCTCTAAGTGCACACAAATGTCTAATACACCCAAACATGCATCAAAGTTACACGTGTATCTACAAGAAATAGAGTAAGGTTAAGAGTATGTGACTTTCACCTAGAGGCTCAAGAATGTTCTAAGGCTCAACAAAACACGTATTTCCCTTTGTCATTGCTTTTGGAGCCTTCACCCACTTCTCTCACTAAAACAATAGTGAAATTGAGTTATTAACTCATCTAGGAGCTTTTAGAAGTTAAGAACAATATTCCTAAAACTTAGGAATGGTTTAGAGTCATCCATAAGCTCTAAAACACTAACCCCTCCTAAAACCCAACCATGGCCAGCATGGCCAAACTCAAAGGTTGAGTGCTTAAATTGAAGCTCTAGTGAAGAGGATTTCAAGACTTACATTCACAAACCTAGATGAGAAAGAATAGTCTACAAAAATGCCTTCTTTGCTAGCTTCCACTAAGGAGAAAATGGATAAAAAGGAAGATATAAAGAAGACAAGGAATGATGAAAAGAAAGATACATTTTCTACATAGGTGACTTTATCTCATTTGAAGATTTCAGGTTTATTTTCAAACAGGGGTCAAATTGGAATTTTATTCCTTCCGTTTTTCATCCCATTCAAAGACACCATTTTTAATTCATAATAGGCTCAACTCAAGCCCAAAAAACTTCATGAATGGGCATGGGCTTCTCACAAGCCTAATGGGTTTATTAAATTCTCTCTCGGGTTGGCTTGAACTTCTAACCCGAAAATCGGGGCATTACAGAAAAGGCGTCCATTAAGATCTCCAAAAATTATTCTACTATATCATAGAAGATGGCCAACATAAACCTTTGAAAGGTAGCTAGAGCGTTATAAAGTCCAAAGGGAATCTTTCTAAAGTCGTAGGTATCATACAACCATGTGAAGGTTATTTTCTATTGATCCTCTAGTGTTATAGCAATCTAGTTGTACCCATAATATCCATCTAAAAAGTAATAAAATGATTTTCTCACCAATCGATCCAACATTTGATCGATGAATGAGAGAGGAAAATGGTCCTTCTTAGTTGTCTCGTTAAGCTTTCAACAATCCATGCAAATCATCCACCTTGTGACAGTTCAGGTAGGTAGTAGTTCGTTATCCTCATTGCCCACCACGGTCACACCTCCTTTCCTGGTTATAGATTGTATTGGGCTGACCTACAAATTATTGGATATCATGTAAATAACTCAAAAATTGAGCCATTTAATGACCTCCTTCATCATCGCCTTCTTCATGACTATATTAAGCCTCTTTTGAGGTTCAGTAGAATTATTGTGGCATTTATCAAGAAGAATTTTGTGCATGAAAAAAGTAATACTTATACCCATTAAGTCAGTAATAGTCCAAACTAAAGCTTTCTTATGTTGGGCTAAAACATTATCAAGCTACGTTCTTGTTCAGGCTTAAGACTAGAAGAGATTACCACATAGAAAGTCTCATTGCTACCTAAATAAGCATATTTAAGGTGAGATGAAAAAGACTTTAACTCTGAAGTTGCATGCTCAAGTAAGGGTTTTGGATGAATAAATTCAGCATAATCTAAGGGTTTAAATTGCTTACCTGGTCTAGCTATGAGTAAGTTAGACTGTTGCAGCTCCATGTCTATAACACATTGACACTTCTCAGAATCATCCACATATTTGATGGTGTTGAATACATTGATGGTCACACTTTGATAAGCCACTCTCATGGTGAATTTACCCTTCTCGTAATCAATTAGAATCTAGCTGGTGGATAGAAATGGTCACCTCAAAATGATAGGCAAATTATCATTGGCTTCATAGTCAAGGATGAGGAAGTCAGTTGGGAAAACAAATTTTTCCATCTTCACTACGACATCTTCAATTCTCCCTTCAAGTAAAATGTGCGATCGGTCTGCCAATTACAAGATAATAGTAGTTGGTCTCGCATTTCCCATACCAAGCTTTATGAACACCGACTTGGCCATTAAATTCATATTCAATCTAAGATCGCATAGGGTTCTCCCCATATAATTATCGCCTATAGAGTAAGGAATGATAAAGCTGTTGAGATCTTTTCTCTTTGGTGGCAGCTTACTCGGCATAGAAAAACACTCTTTTGATGTATAAACACTTTCATATTTCTCAACCTTCCTTTTCTTGGAGACAATATCCTTGAGAAACTTCGCATATGTTGGCATTTGATCAATGGCCTCTAGGAAAGGGACATTGATGTATAGTTGGTCAAGGATATCTATAAATTTCTTAAATTGAAGGCCTTGATTTTGCTTCTTCAATCTTTGATGGTGGGGTGGTGGGGGTCTTTCTTCTTCTTCTACTAGTGGGGGTCTCTCTTTTGTTATAGTAATATTATATCTTCCATTAGCAGATTCACTTGTCAAACCCTCATTCTTATCCTTTTCTAAAGGTTCATATTCTTGCAACTTAGGTTCTTTTTGCACAATCTTGGGGTTGAGATCATCTATTTTCATCCCCTCGAAACTTATCTCCTTGGCTAAGTTGGGTGCCACTCCTTAAAGTGAGTGCACCACAATGCTCCTTTTCATGAGCCTTATTGACTTCATTATCACTAGGCAAATTGCCTTGGGGAATACATGTAATGCTTGAGTAATTTAACCCACTTGGTTTCCAAAGCTCTCAAAGATGAGTTATGGCTTTGCAGCAATGTTTCTTGGCTTTTTAATAATGCTCATTGGTTCTTAATAGATGTGTAATGATCTTGCAATAGAGCCTTTGTAGTCACCATAAAGTCTTGGAGAGTGACTTCTAAAGAGTTAGTGTTTGATAAAGATGTTGACCCCTTGTTGGTGTTTTTCCAAAGCATATTTTATTAAAAAAAATGGGGTTCAGTCAGATTTTATTAATGATTCAAGCAACTTACATTATTGGCTCCTTGATTCCCCCATTAAAAATTTGGTTGATGATGTCATCTTGGGTTATAAGTGTTCGAGTAGGAGTTATTATTGTTCCTATAGAAATTCCTTACATAGTTGGTAAACTCATGGTTTTTAGGTCACTCGCTCACATGATGATTGCCACAGCAAAGTACACATGAAGAACTTGCCACCTTGACTTTCTTCACTTCACTAAGACATTGGAGATTCTTCAATATGTTTATGATTGTTGATAATTGAATTGAAATAGAATTCTTAGCATCCAACTCAAATGTTCCTTGAGCCTTCCTTTCTATTCCTAACCTTGAAGAAGGAAATTAGTAGTCATTATTTGATATTCTATCAAGTATATCAAACACTTCTTATTGTATCTTGTCTAGAAAAGTGCCATTTGCTGAAGCATCTAGGATCATCCTTGTTTGAGCATTCACACCATTGTAGAACATATCAACTTGTATTCAATCATGAAATCCATAGTTCGTGCATTTGTGAAACAATCTAAGCATTTAAACAATTAACAAAGTAAGCATTGAAAGATAAAAAAACACTAAACCATTCATTCAACAAAAGCATAATCATCCATAATAAACTCGAGAAAAATAAGTTAGTTTATGGCAAGGCTAGAATCAAACATCTTCAACATTTGTTTCATTACAACCCAACTAGAAAATAAGAATGAAAATCAACTAAAGGAGAAATGAAACTCCCAAGTTTGAGCTGATAAATCTCCAAAAGAGTTATGTTTTAGATCCTTTTTACATAGGTTAAGTTTTCAATGTAGAATTTTTAGGATCATATTTAGATTTATTTTAGCATATTTTACATCAATTGCATATTGGGAGTGAATTGTTGGTACCTAGGCTGATTTTAATATTTCTTTTGTAAAACTGATGTTGTTACATTTATAATGTTGTAGTTGTTTCTGAGCACCGATACTGGACTAGATTACCGAGACGATGTGATACCATTTCTAAGTCACCAACAACTTGAGAAATTTTAGGAATTGATAATTGCTCACAGCTGCTGCGGGATAAAGGCTGGAAATTGAATTTTTAAAAAGAAATTATCATAATAAAAAGGATTTTCCTATTAGTGGAAAGTTGACTTTGATTATCTATAAATATAACATTTTCTACACACTTTAGGATCTTGGAAAACCCTATCCACCTCCTATTTTCTCTCCTACCATCTATGGTCATCTAACAATTCTATAGGGGAGTACAACAACAGTCGGGGAGCACTTCGTGCAGCAGCAGCTATCAAGTGGAGTTCTATTTTATTTTTGTCCTTTTGTTGAGATATAGAAGGGCAGAATATTTAGTTGAATAATTATGTTATTCTAGATGTTATTTGTTTTTTGAACATAAGGTGCTTGATTAAATGTCTCTTGTTATGTTTTATGTTTAAACTTTTTTTATGTGCTATCGTGCTTATGGGAATATTCTAGAAAAAAATTTATTTTTTTTGTATGTTATTTATATAGTTTTTAGAAATAAAAGTTATGGGTTTTACATACTATTTTTTTGCAACATTGGTGTTTGTGAAAAGCAAATTTTGTATATAGAAATGTATGTTGTGAATTGTCCAACATTGCTAACTGTTTGATTAAATTGGATTAATGAAGGTTGATTCTTGTTAATTGAATGGTGTTAATCATTATGAGACACATGATTGCATTGTTTTAATCATATCCATAGTGGGAAATTCCAAATAACACTTGCATCCATTAAATATTTGATATGTTGCTCTCCTGAATATTGTTGCACTACCTGAAACTTACCATTATGATTTCTATACTTCGTTATTTATTTCTTATTCCATCATTCAACTATACATCCTTTGAAATCTTTCACACAACTCTATTGTAATCTGTTTTGCTCTCTGTAGGTTCAACATCCGAAGCTTTTATAGCTTCCACTTTATTACTGGATACAATAGTGTATGCTTACACTTTGTTGTAGCATTATCATAGCATCAAGTTTTTGGCACTATTTTTTAGGAGCAATTGTTTTACTTTAGAGTTGTTTCTTTGTTTATTAACTCTGTTTATTTTTTTGAAGGTACTTATTTTTTTCTTCTTGCATAGTTTTTCTGGTGCATGACTCGTAGCAACAATCAAGACCTAGATCCTTTTGATCCTGAAATCAAACATACATTACGTGAACATCGTAGACAAGATGCATGTAATTGACCAAACATGGCCCAACATGGTGATGATAACAACGCTTTGCCACCAGTTCCAAATGGCGATAAAGAATTAACAACTGGAAATGGAGTTAACCAACTACATTATTACAACATTGACGACCACCACAGACCGATTAGGGAGCATGTTGTGCCAACGCTTTATTACTTATATCCTAGAATCTTTCAACATGTCATCCATGTTGCCCAGATTAATCTAAAGTCGATGATGTTACAGATGTTGCAGTCAATGAGGTAGTATAGTGGTTCATTTGCTTAAGACCATAGAGCACACCTTAGAGCCTTCATGGAGGTTTGTGACTCATTTATATAGCAATAAGTTCTTAAAGAAACCTTGAAGCTAAATTTGTTTCCCTACTCACTATGTGATAAAGCTAAACTATGGCTTAACTCGCTGCTGCCTAGTGTTATAGCATCATAGAATGAGTTGGCACAAAAATTATTGTTGTGTTTCAATCCGCCCAACATGAATTTCAAGCTGAGGAATAATCTCACATCATTCAAACAATTAGAGAATGAGAACCTATACGAAGCTTAGGAGCATTTCAAATACTTGCTACGTAAATGTCTGATACATGGATTCTCGCATTAGATGCAAATGGAAATGCTTTATAATAGATTGAATATGCAAACACGCATGGTTATTGATGCTTAAGCCAATAGAGCATTGCTGGATAAAACTTGCAATGAAGTTCAATGCCCAATACGAGGAACATGTTTGGCAGATGCAATGTTGCAGTAGTGGATAATGACGTCTTCAATTCAATGGCTTCACATATCACAACATTGATAGACATGATTAAAAAGTTGAACAAATCAGGGGTATATGTAAGGTAAAATATACATCTTTTGTTAATTGTATTTATTGTGGTGATAACCATAACTTTACCTAATATCCATAAAACCCTGAATCTATCTATGTTTTGAGAAATTACAATAAGAACAACAACGCAAATACCTGTGGGAACGCGTACAATGCCAACTTTCACAACCATCCAAATTTGTCTTAGATGATTCAAAATGTTGTGAATCCAAACACAACAGTTCAATCAAATAATCAATAGTATTACCAACAGTAGTAGCAATACAATCAAGAGATGATGCCCTAGCATCAATCACAACAACAAGTAGTCTAGCAACAGTATCGTCAGAATTATCAAAGAAAGCATTCAAACCAAGCTTTGACCTTAATATCTCTTGAATATCTACTAAAATAATTCATTTCAAAAACTGAGGCAATAAATCAAAGATATGAAGCAATGGATCAAAGGAATGAAGCTTTGATCCAAATTCAATAAACATCGCTGAGGGTATTGGAAAATCAAGTGGGACAGTTAGTGAATGTTATGAGTAATAGGCACCAAGGAACACTACCTAGTAACATCGAGAATCCAAAGACACATGGGAAAGACCATTGCAATGAGTATTATAAAGCCATCACTATGAGAAGTTGTCTCCATATTGAGAAGCCTACTGAGGAGCATAAGAAGAAGGATGATGATGGGCCTAAACAGTAAGATAAAGGCAAAGAAACAAAAGTGGACCTTGAACCAACTGTTGATGTTACAATAAAGGAGACAAGATAGTGTAGTAATTATGGGACAATGCCAGCAGTAATACCAACAGCACTATCTCCTATTATACCACTACCAAAGCCTAGACAATTGAACTCAAGGCCTCCACCACCATTTCCCCAAAGATTTAAGAAGACCAATGAGGACCAACAATTTAAAACATTCATAGATCTGCTTAAATAATTAAGAATCAATATCTCGTTGATTGATGCCTTAGAGAAAAACCCGAATTACATCAAGTTTATAAGAGAAATTCTTTCAAAGAATAGAAGACTTGGATAATTCAAAATTGTTGCACTCACCGAGGGATATAGTGTTATATCCACAAGTTGATTGCCACCTAAGCTTAAGGATCCATGGAGTTTCACTATCCCTTATATTATTGGCAATAAATTTGTAGGCAAAGCATTATGTGATTTTGGTACTAGTATTAACCTCATGCCTTTGTTAATTTTCAGAAAATTCAGAAGTGGAGAAGCAAGGCCCATTACCGTTGAGAACATGCTAGTTTGAGTGGACAAGTTCATTGTTCCCACCGACTTCATTATATTGGATTGTGAATCTAACATGGATGTACCGATTATACTTAACCGACCCTTTCTTGCCACCGACCAAGCTTTGATTGATGTGGGAAACAGAAAACGTAACTTTCTCTTAAATGATGAACACATTACCTTTAATGTTTTGAATAATGTTTAATATGGTGATGATAATTCTAAGTGCCACTATATTGAAATTATTGATGTTATTTTACAAGAACACTTGGATTAATGCCACAACTTTGATGTTGTTGATTGT